ACACACACACACACACACACACACACAGAGTTGAGAGTGCAGTTTCCTGACCCGTTGAAGTCAGGTGTGGCCACATGCCTTGCTTTAGCAAATGACATGCAAGCAAAAGTGATGTACATCTCTCCTGAGTAGATGATTTAAGAGCCAGTAAGTGATTTGCCACATTCCTTTCCTCTGCTGCAGAGACAGTGAAAGCACCTGTGCTGAGATTGAGCTGTCAGCCAGGGGCCCATAGTAAGGAAGAGATGAGAGCCCCTACCCCTCTGCATTGTCCCTGTAGACTGCACGAGAAGTAAACTTCTGTGCTATAAGCTCTGAGATATTGGGGTTGTTAGTACCATTTCAACCCAACTGATGGCCACGCTTTACGTGTTCAGGAAATGGTAGCTGTTATGATTTTTCCCTCTTCCTTGTGTCTTCTCTCTCAGAGGTTCTGAGCAATGATGTGACCGATGGCATTACCCGAGTTATCTGTAGCAAATGCTACTTTTGGATCCATCGCCTTGCATACGGGAATCTCATCTGTACAGCTGATATTCTCCCTCTACCCTTCTCTCATCCTAGCATTTTGAGAGGGAAGACTTGGGATTAAACACTACAGTTTGGTTGCTCATTTTCCTTTGCAAATCTTACCTTGCTTATCTGTAAAATGGGTGTGAGAGCCTTGTTTTTTCTACCTTTTCCAGGACTTACTATATGATTGGTCTGTGTATAGCAAGTATTACGGACACCCCTCAGAAATTACTCTTACTGGGTTTTCTTGTCTACTTTTTTTTCCCATTCAGCACATGATGGGTAATTTTTAATTTCCTTCCCTACAGGATCTTGGAAACAAAGACCTCAACAGGGATAAAATTTACTTGATTTGTCAAATAGTTCGGGTTGGGAAGATGGATCTTAAGGATACTGGTACAAAGAAGTGCACACAGGGACTGAGGAGGCCCTTTGGGGTGGCAGGTAAGGGACACACTCTGCACCATTAATTTTTATTGGAGTATACATTTTATGTGACTGAATTTTAATGAATATTTCTTTCCTACCCTCCTCCCCCAACCTCTGCAAAATTTATGCCAGACAGCCCTTAATAACTATATTTTTGGTGACTAAATCGAAATAATTGGTGACTAAGTCCAGATTTATGATGAACACAGTGAATCATGAGCTACTCTTGTCTGGAGCAGAGCTTGGGGAGACCGATACCATCTGAGCAGTTGATGCCTTTGTTCCCCAGCTCTGTGAAAAAGGAAAAACAATACAGGCAGGATCTAATTATGAGGAGCAAATCATTTAAAAAATATATCTAGGACAGGAAATGCAGTTACACAGAATGAGTCACCTACCACACATCGAAATTCCAGATGGAAACGGACATTTGAAGAGCTGGTGTGACCCAAGGCGGAGCTCGTCATGGGGCTGCTACACAGCAATGTCAGCTCTGCCTTCTTCTCCAAGCTTTAGCTCTCTTGGGGTTTCTAAGGCTTCATCCTCCTTGTCCTACATTTATGGTTTTAGTTATATTTGACCACCACTTGCACTATTATTTATCTATATTTTCTTTTAATCAGCCTACTTTATATAATGTATGCTTTTCGCCAATGGCAATTTAAATACATGTGAAAATGGCAATTTGATATGCCAGTTTTATTCTTTTTATTAAACTATAAATTTTTAATAGTATACCATTTCTAACCCCTGTGTACCATAGCTAAGCTCAGTGTTACAGGTTTTTCACTTTCAGATGCTCTGATCTGTAATCACAGACCTGCTGATTCTCCAACTAGTCCCCTGGCACTGCTTGCAAAGTGGGGGAGTGGAGGATGTTTTACCGAGCTCACTGGTTTTTTTAACCTGGCACTGTGGCTAGCTAGCCAGCCAGTGATGTTGGGTAAGCATTTTCCCCAGAGCCTTAGTTTTATTATGTGCAAAATGAAGGACTTGCACCTGGTTAATTCATGAAATCTTCTACTGCTCTAAAAAAATGCTCTGATTCTACTTGTGGGGCATTTCTGACATCACAATGTTTCCGTTAAGGCAGTGAGAATCCTCTAACCTTACTGCAAAGTGTGTCTTTGTCCTCAGCTGTAGTCTGCCCTCTCTTGGGGTGTCAGGTGACAGAGATCTGATCTAAACTGGTAGAAGAAGAAGAAAAAAAGGTACTTTATTAGTGTAACTGAAAGGCTTATGAATATATTGCTTCAGGCATAGCTGGATCCAGGAACTCAAATCAGTTTGTCTCTTTCTTGCTCCTATGTCCTCATGCTGGCCTACTATGAAGAATTTGTCTCTTTCTTGCTCAGCCCCTATGTCCTCATGCTGGATTACTAATAAGATATCTATCTAGTGAGTTGGCAAATTATCAGCCAGCTGTTCCAAGCTTGCATTCTACCAACTTAGAAACCCAGTGGAAAGAATGTACCTCTTTCCCATTAGTTTCAACAGAAGCCCCAGGAGCTTTAATATAGGTCACATGCTCATCTCCAGAGCATTTACTTTGGGCAGGGAGAGATGATTCTCTGATCTATCATGTCCTATGAACAACTCTGGAGCCAAAGGGAAATTGCCCTGCCCAAATCACAGCACTGAGGATGGATGAGGAGTGTCTGTTAGATGGCTGCTCAGTTTCTCTTCCTGTCTGCTCTGTGACTCCCCTGTCTACCTAGATGCAGTCAGGGGTTGATTATTACCCAAGCAATTTTAATGGCTCTCTGTCCAGTGCCCGGAGTGTTTGAGGTATTTTCTGTAACTAGGGTACGAGCTCGTTGGAGTAGCTTTTCTCAGCCCTCTCCTCCACTCCAATTTCTATAATCCCCATTCCAGTGTAAGATTTCTTTACTTTGGTTTTGGGGCCTTTAGTGGCTGACTTAAGGAGAGGTTTCAGAGAATCCAGGATCCCATTGGAATCGCAGGATTTGAGGATTCTACTGTTATGTGCCTGTACATATGAGTATGCTTATGAAAAAAGGGTGAATATTTCATGAGATTCTCATATCCTACAGAGACCCAATCGCTGCTCTCCAGTTTTGTAGGCACTGTAGACATTCAATACATATGTGTCAAATCCAAATCTAATTGCCGAATTCCACAGCCACAGCTCTGACCCGTTCCTTTTGGCCTCTGTTAAGCCATGGTGCTCTTGGATGCCTCCCTGGCCTGCTGACCTCTTAGTCTGCTTTGCCTAGAGGTATTTGCCCCGGTGCTGCATGCCAGGAACCTCTGCTGCCTGTGTATTGTGCAGCAAAGGATTGCTTGTCATTTTAGGCCTTCCTGACCCCCAGGCAACCTAGACCCTACCTCCTGTCCCACAAGCTCCTCCCACTATCATCCCTTCCTGGGAGCAGGATGATGTTAAACTTTAAATTAATTCATTTTCTTCTCTTTCTAGTTATGGATATAACAGACATCATCAAGGGGAAAGCAGAGAGTGATGAAGAAAAGCAGCACTTCATTCCTTTTCACCCGTAAGACATTTCCCATTTCTTTCCATTCTCTTCAACCACACCCTTTGTCATCAAGGGCTGCTGGAGCTCAGAGTGCACTGGTTCCCTGAGTTAGTGATAGGCAGGTGGAGCCTCCTAAGGGGAGCGCAGGGTGAGAATCATTGGCTCAGTGCCCAGGCACTCAAAACCAAACAGCTCTTCACCCATTCATTCGTCAGATGTTATTTACTCCACAGACATTTATTGGCAGCCTGGCAGAGGCTGGCACTGGGCTAGGTGTGGAGGATGAAGTGCTGAACAAGATGGACCCTGTCCTCATGGAGCTCATAGTATAGATGGGGAATTAAACAGGTAGTCACCAGAAGATTAAGCCTTAATTACAAGTGCAGCGGAAACCAGGAAGTTGTGAAGCAGCAGCGTTTCAGGAGTGTGTGGCAGGGAATCCTAACCCGGCTTTTGTGGATAGACATATCCATGACTTAGGAGGAGGGTAGTAAGGAAGGTGAATGTCCTCTCCTCTCCTGTTCCAAAAAGAGTCTTCCAAAAAGCAGGGCCCCAGTTTGAGGGTATCATCAATACTTAATAATCCTATGGATGGGCTAGGTAATGAGGCTAGTGACTTTGCTGACGGCGTGTGATTATGACTTAGCAGGAGCAACTCAAGTCTTTACCCTTGCTAAGCAGATAGGCATGTTGAAAGTTTTGGAATCCTACCTTTTAAGCATCTTCCTGGAGAAGAAAAAATGGCCTCTACCTGTAGCATCGATATTCCCAAATTTCAGAGCCACATTGCTTTGTGATTAAAAAGTGCTGTGCCTTGTGATGGCCAGTATATACCCTGAGCTGACACACACAAGCTCACTTTTCACCTAAGACATGTGGAGGGGCTGGGGAGCTCCCTTCAAGGGCAATTTGAAACACAAGTGAGGGCACCATGTGCACATTTCATACTCTCTTTTCCTTTCCAGGGTTACAGCTGAGAATGACTTCCTACACAGCCTGCTGGGCAAAGTCATAGCCTCCAAGGGGGACAGTGGAGGGCAAGGTATAGTGCTAACGTGCTGGTGGGCTAGGCTTGCTCCTGCTTAGGAGCCCCTGACTCTTTAGTAAATGAATCAAAATCCTGACCCCTGGGATGCTTAGCTTTCCTTCCAGACAGACCACTGGGAAGAATGGGAACATATGATCTATAGGGATAGAAGTCACATCCCCTGAAGCAAATTGGAGGCATGTCCTTGTGCCCAAAAGAAGAGAGGAACTGATACACCCTGAATATCTCCTGTGTTCCAGGCACTTTAAAAGTCACCTTCTTTGATTGCATTCTTACTCCAGGCCTGTGAGATAGGTGGTATCATCCTCACTCTGGGTTTAGAGAAGTGGGATAAGTTGCCAGAGGCTGACACTGCTAGAAATAATTAGTGGGATTCATACCCAGAGATCTCCTGCTCCAGAGGCCTCATGGGCTGGGTAGCTGCATCTGTGGTTGTATGGCTCAGTTCCCAGTGATCTCCAGAAAAACAGAGGAGAGAAGTGGTGGGAAGGCAGACTGAGAGAACACTTGGAAAAGTGGGCTCTTCATGGTAAACTGTTCCTTTCCAGGCCTCTGGGTGACCATGAAGATGTTGGTGGGTGACATCATTCAGATCCGCAAGGACTATCCACACCTGGTGGACAGGACCACCGTAGTGGCCAGGAAGCTGGGCTTCCCAGAGATCATCATGCCAGGTGAGACACAGCTGCTCTGACCTTCCCCTGGGGACATAGGGGCCAATTCAGCTTGTCTAATACATTTTCCTTTTAAAGAGTCAACTCCTTCCTTTTTTACTGCCTGTCTCTGTTTCTCTCCCTGAAGGTAACTACTAAAAATGATTTCTGTATATCCAAAAACTTCTATGCATTAACAAAATAGGCACAAGCAGGTAAATACACAAACATACTCTTTGTCCCCACAAATGGAATCATACTTTATATTCCTTTACTTAATATACTTTATACGGTGTTCTACAACTTGCTTTATCACTTAATAATTTATTGTGGACATCATCTCTATTTTACTACATGCAGAACACTTCCTCTTTTTCTGGGGGAATAATGCCATTCTCTTAAATTTTTAAGCATTTTTTTTATGTTACCAAAGAAATTTGTGTTCATTGTAAAATATTCAAATGGCATGAAAAGGTATAAAGTGAAATGTTCAAAGCTCCTTCATATCTTTGTCTCCAAAAGTAGCCATTCCATTTCCAAAGGTGTGTGTAATTTTTAAAAATGAATTTATATAATAATAAACAATTAAAGGAGGGCATTGTTTTGGACTAAATTCCTGCACCAGGCCCCAACAAATGAGACTGAAAATCAAAATGGAGTCAGCCATGCTAAAGTTTCATGTCACTAAATTGTTATCTAGAGAGAGAGAGGAAGAGAGAGAGAGAAAGAGAGAGAGAGATGGAGAGAGAGTGAGTGAAGGCGAGAGAGCAAGAGAGTGCCTATTTTCCAGACAGGCCATTTTCAGTTTTCAATGAGTGTGATAATGAAGTTCCCTGTGCTTTAATCCTAACAGCAAAGGGTAACCTGAAGTAACCTGATGTTAATTAATCAGTTACTTTTCTATTATTCTGTTTCCCCTGTTTCAGCCTTACGAGGGCAGTAACTTTGAAATAACCAATTCACTCTGTCTTGCTTCTACTTCCTTCAGGCCTTCTCTGTCCATAAAGCCAACCTCTTCTGCTCAGCTCTTTGGAACACTGATTCTATTTTATGGAGTGAAGCATTGCCTGATTCTAGAATTGCAATAGAGCCATTTGAGGTCTTTAAATTAAATTTGATGTAATTTTGTCTTTTGACAATGGTAATACTCTTTTGAAACTTCTCTTTGTGTCTTAAACCTGTGTCTTGGACTTCTGTTCTCGATGACTCTCACTGACTAGCTGTTCCTTTCCACGTTTTTCTGATGGTGGTCTCCTAGGGCCTGTGCTGTCATTTATTTGTACATGCTTTACCTGAGACTTCAATTACTTGTGTATCCCTTTGTAGGATTTTCTATTCCTTTTTTTTTTTTTTTTTTTGAGATGGGGTCTGGCTTTGTTACTCAGGCTGGAGTGCAGAGTGCAGTGGTGTGACCTCCGCTCAATGTGGCTTCTGCCTCCCAGACTCAAGCAATCCTCCTACCTCAGCCTCCTCAGCAGCTGGGACCATAGGCATGTGCCACCACGCTCAGCTAATTTTTTGTATTTTTGATAGAAAGAGGGTTTTTCCCTGTTGCCCAGGTTGGTTTTGAACTCCTGAGCTCAGGTAATCTGCCCGCTTTGGCCTCCCAAAGTGCTTAGGATTACAGTGTGAGCCACCTGTGCCTGGCGGATTTTCTGGTTTTCCTTGCCTCCCTTCCTGAAGATCCTCTGCAGCTCCTTCCTAACCGTGTGTCCCTAGGACACATGGAAAGTTGCTCTATTCTGCTCCTACACAGTAAAACATCGGTGGATGTATAGGCTTGGTTGTTTTCATCGGACAGGATCGATTCAATCGGAGCTTTTCTTTGCCTTCCCAGAAGGTGTCACTAGAGGATGAAAATTAAATTATTTTTAATGTCGAGAAAAACATGGCCAATTTAGAGTATTCCTACTTCCCATTTTGCAACTGATTTCCTAGCATCCTGTCATCCGCTTGTTACCTACTTCTCCAGCTTCCCTGATGAGGAAAAAGTGCTTTCTCCAAACAGTTCTGATTTTAATTAACAGCAATCCAGGTGGGGGTGCTTCCTCTCACCCTCCATTCCCTCGAGTTAGTCAGCGTCTCTCCTGCTGCAATCCATGCTAACTCTTGTCTCTCTCTCCCTCTGCCTCAGGGGATGTCAGGAACGACATCTACATTACTCTCTTACAAGGTGACTTTGACAAGTACAACAAGACCACACAGAGGAATGTGGAAGTGATCATGTGTGTGTGCGCGGAGGACGGGAAAACGCTGCCCGTAAGGGACTCGCTGCTGCTCTGGGTGACAGGGTCCCTCTTGGGGGCTTCTGCTCATAAAGATGTACTTTTCCCCTCCCTGATTCTGTTCCCTAAATGCCAGGTGCCTTTGGGATGGTGTTGAATAATGTGATTTACACCTTTTGAGCTTAGTTAGTGCAATGTTCCATAATAAGACCTTGTGATATTTCTTTACACCAAAGCAGTTTTTCAATGTCTGTTCCTTTCCTTTCATGACTCCTATCTATCTATCTATCTATCTATCTATCTATCTATCTATCTATCTATCTATTTTTGCTTGGTATTGACTTATAGGTTAGCTCTCTGCAGTTAAAATGTTCTCATTGAAACCTGAGCTGGTTTATTTAGGCAAAGTCCATGGTAAGAAAGAGGATCAATACAGCGCCTTGGGCTGGTGTGGAGGCTCAGGATGTGCTCAAAGCAGACATTCTCAACACTTAATCTAACTCCCCAGCGCTCAGCCAGAAATGCTGGTGGAAAGCCTTATTCATAAATTGGTCTCCAGAGAGCTAGCAGGGTGTATTCAGGAATGCAAAGCGCATTGCTATGTTTATACGGCATATGTCCTGTCCAATATTTATCGTGTATGTTTACATTTATTTGCTTGTATTTCCTTTAAGGTTGTCAGTGCCGTGTCCAGTGTGTAGGAGGGTTTTGTTTCTCAATTCCTCCTTGCAGACTAGTTAGCTGAAAAGAAAATTAGCTCTCGGAGAAGTTTTAGCATGGGTGAATATTCCTCCTAGACCTCTGTGAATGATCAGATAGCCAAGTAGGGTGGGTATGAGGGGATGTGAAGATGGAAAAGGCATCAGTTCTGTCCTTGGAGCCTGGAAATCAGACTGATGTTGGTGCTTTATACCCAAGAATAACTAACATTCACAGGGGAATTACCATGAGTCAGGCTGTGTGATAGAGTGACACATTTCCTTTATTATGCTCCATTTTACAGATAAGGAAACAAAACCTTTGTCATTTACAATAACTTCCCCAAGGCTATAACCTTAGCATATGGCAGAGATGGTGTTTGACTGGTTCCAGGCCCTCTTAGATACTTCACTACAATGCCTGCACATTTAACAAAATTCTCTAATTTATTTCTCATTTTAAAAATGAGGCTAATAACCACTTCTGACAAATGTGGGAAGATTCATAATCATTTTTTAAATGTAAAGAAATCCTCACAATTGCCTTTTTGTTCATAAAGACCGATCATGTTAACTAGTATCTCTTTGAACAAAATCTAAACATTGAACGCACCTCCTTTCATTGGAGTCTGAAACCTTTCCAAAAAATAAAATAAGTGGGAAACACTTGGTTCAAAGGATCGTAAAGGAGCAGAGCATTTTTTTTTATCTGAAAGGGAAATTGTAATTCCCAAATGTATAGACCATTGCTTTGAAGTTACTTTTATTCCATCTTACCTGTTGGAGAACTTTTTAACCTCAGCTTCATTTTTGAAACACGGATACACTTACCTTCCATGTGGCCAAAGGACAAAGCAAAAGACACAGTTAACAGGCAAGCAGGCATCTTATCTCCTGTCTAAACCATTCTTACTTCCACTTTTGTCACCCTTTCAATTCACTACGGACCAGGCTGAGCAGATGCGCTTAGGAAAGATGAATAGATAAGCAGGCATTCTGGGGGCTGACATGGAAAGGGAACTGTGGGGCATGAGGAAAATTTGCAGTTTCCTCTATTAGGGAAATTCTGGGGGAGTTCAGTTGACTGACTATTGAAAATTGCTTAGGAAGCCTGTGGGAGGCTTTTCTTTCTCTGTTTGCAGAAATAAATATTACTGCCTAATTAAGTGTCAGGAAACACATTCAAACACTTCTGTTTGAATTGGACCATTCCTGTGGGAATGGTCCCCTTTAGAAGTATCGATTTCTGCTCCTACTCTAGGTGTGTGCACACTGTCTTTGGCAGAGTGAGACCAGAGGGCAGAGGAGGTTAGGCCTCTCTGTGGCTCACCTTGGGGTGTCAAGGGTCTTACTCAGGAGGAGCTGTAGCATAGAAGCTAATGGGGTGGGCTCTGGGGTCAGGCAAACAGGGTTCGAATTCCAGCCTCTTCTCCTATTAGCTGTGTGATCTTAGGCAAATCTATTCATGTGTAAAAAGGAATCATAACCTCTTCTTGTGGGGTTGCAGGTTAAACCAAAGCATAGGTATTAAAACAACTAAAAGAGTATGATTGGATTGCTTGTAACACAAGGATAAATGCTTGAGGGGATGGATCCCCTTTTTCCATAATGTGATTATTATGCATTGTATGCCTGTATCGAAACATCTCATGTACTCTGTAAATATGCATATCTACCGCATGCCCACAAAAATTAAAATTTATAAAATTAAAATTGAAATTAAAATATTAAAAATCAAAAACAAATATGCTGCCGGGCACAGCAGCTCACGCCTGTAATCTCAGCACTTTGGGAGGCCAAGGCAGGCAGATCACTGGAGGTCAGGAGTTTGAGATCAGCCTGGCCAAGAAGGTGAAACCTCATCTCTACTAAAAATACAAAAATTAGCTGAATGTAGTGGTGGGTGCCTGTAACTACTCGGGAGGCTGAGGCACAAGAATTGCTTGAACCCTGGAGGCAGAGGTTGCAGTGAGCTGAGATCATACCCCGGCCACTCCAGCCTGGGTGAAAAAGCAAGACCCTTTCTCAACAAACAAAACACGCCATAGGTAGAAGGCACGGGTATGCAGTAAGTACTCAGCAATAGGAAGGAGAGTCACATTCAGAGAAGGGGGGCCAAGGGCAGGATGAAGCCCTGTGATGAACTTGAGGAAGTCAAACAGGCAATCCAGCCAGAAGCAAGTTCTGGTGAAAGATAAAGGCTCAGTTGCTGGACCAAAAAACCTCTGTTCTTCTGAGACCACCCAGCTTGAGGTGGTGAAGGCAGGGGATAGGAGAAGTGTGGGATACTGGTTAAGACCATGACCTCTGGGGCCATGCAGCCAGGTGCAAAGCCCAGCTCAGCCTAAATTAGCAAGAGGACATTGAGGCAGTTACATAACCTCTCTAAGCCTGAGAGTCTCTGTCTGAAAATGGGACCAGTAATGGCACACTGCTCTTGTGAATGTCAGATGAGGTAATCTACATAATAGGTGTTCATTGCATTTAGCTATTATTATTAGAAGGGTATATTGAGCTCCTGGCCTGATTCCCACCTTAGGGATGCTAATCAGCATCTTCCTATGATGTGGTCTTGTGAGAGAACACTTTCTTTCCCAAAGTGTGTTCACATCCCTGGTGTCATCTCTTTCTTACCTGATTCCTACCAAATAAATAGGGCATGTGTTAGGAGCCTGGCTTTTCTTCCTGCAAAGATGTCTCTTCTAAGGCCAAGTCAACATGAAAGCCTCCAGGCTTCCTGGTCCTTTCTCAGATTTTCTTCAACTTGTCTGAAGTCGCCCACACCTGTGAAGGGATCTCACTGTTAATTGGGGGTCAAGGGGATAGGCAATGTGGAAAATTATGGAACAGTGTTACTTGAGATATATATAGCACTCTATATTTTGTTAGAACTGGGCTCAGTCCCTGGTCACAATGCTTTCTCAATGCACCTCCCAACACTATTTTATCTCTCAAGTGCTTTTGGCTTTTCTCAGAATGGTACTGAGACTTTTTTCTCCAGCCTTAAGAAATCAAAAATGTTCATTATCCATACAGTTTTGTGAGATTCAGTTGCCTGCCATACAGCAGTTTTACTTTCACCAGAGATATATGTGTAGTTTCTGATTTTGTAAGCTACATGGGATTCACAGAAACTCTAAGCCCATAAATGTCACCAGTTATAAATCTTTGTAGGCTGGAAGGCATCTAGGTTCTAATAGAAGGAACACTGGCTGAGTAGCTAGGGAGTCTGTGATGTAGTACCGGTTTTGCCACTTTTTGAGCAAGTGGCTTAATCTCTCAGGGCCTCAGTTTACCCAGCTGCGAAATGGGGATGTTGACAGTAAGCCTCAGAGGTGGTTATGAGGACTGAATTAAGCGAGATGGTGTGTGTAAAGGGCTTAGCGTGATGCTGAACACAAAACTCGCTCTAAATGGTTAGAAAGACTTTGGGAGTATATTTTTAGCTCAGTGTCTCTGGAAGTTATGGAAGGCTTCATCCCATGGAAAAACAAAAGAGTCAAATGTCTTCACTCAGTTCTGGTTCATTGGTTACCTTTGTTTTTCTTTTGAAGATACATTCTGAAAGGACTACTGTGTATTCTGCTTTCAAATGGATCGATTTGTCTGCAAGTACTGTCAGTCAATATTGAAACTGAGCTCATTCCTTTTCTATATCTTGGAAGCACACAGGGAGATTTCCAGTGCGAAGGGCGAGTCCTCTTTTCCCCAGGTTAGCATGCTTTGCCAGGGCTCAAGGAGTGCCTATATGTGGCCGGCTTTGGTGATTCAGCCTGCTGAGGGTTAAGGATCAATGGGAGAATCTGATCCAATCTAGTGAGAGGCATGACTCACTCACCATCAACATGCCGAGAGGCACACAGTGTGCAATTTCAGAAGCTGGGGCTCCAAAACCAAATCTTACAAATCTGACAATTTAGGATTGAAAATTGTTTGGCCTGGTATAAAAACCACACTTTAGGCCCCTTCTGGGTAATCCTAGCTTGAATCTTGTTATGGGGCCAAAAAGCTGGAATGAACATAGACAGAGAGAATTAGGCATTGCTGTATGCGACTAGGAGACAATTTCTTGTTATTCAGCTCCTTTCCGAACCTCTGAGGGTGATTTTTATAGCAAGGAATAATGTCCCACATGAGCAGGTGTGCTCTGTGCTCACTCTCTGTTCAGAAAGCCCTCCCACATTTCTTCTTGGAGCCAACTTGAAATCTTTCTTTAAGCTACTCAACTGTCATTGCCTCCAAGAAATCTTCCCTGATTCCTCACCTGTCCTTGTGTCCTTCCTCTGTGCTTGACAGTAGTGTGTACACATGCCTGTCATCATGTCACATTGCTGTCATGACGTCCTCCCTAATGTTTCCTGCGGTAAACTGTGAGATCAACGTCAGGTTCTGTATCTGACCCATTCCCATACCCCAGTGCTCAGCGTGGAGTACAGAGAACATGTTCCATCACTGTGGGCTGAACTGAGCCTCCTCTCCACAACTGCCTCTCCCCAGACTTGTTCTCTAAGGCAGGTGCTCACGTGTCTCTCTGAAGCCTGTGTTCTCTCCTTTTGCCCAGCACTGCCTACCACCCTGAGGCGTTAGCCATAGAAATTCATCAGAAGGAGTTACTGCTTGACTGATCTGAGCCTGTTTGTAAACTTTGTGCACATTCACATTTAGGAAACAAATAGAATTATTAAGATTGGCAGTGTGCAGTAACTCCAAGGCTGGTTATCACTTACAATAAGGCAGCCACTTCAATGCCCTGGTGCACTCTAGTGGTTTCCAGAATGGAAGTAATAGAATTTCTGTAGTTAAGCACCTGTTAGTCCTGTGGCCTGGGCGTTCCTGTGTAAATCTGTAAAAGCAAAGGGGCCATTATGGGCACCTGTCATGAGGGCTGGGGAAGGCAGGGTTGACCCAGGCCCTAAGGCTGGCAGTGGCCTGGGGACCAAACCTGCACAAGCACAGAAAATGGCAATTCTGTAGTGTGTTTTACTCTCACTTTGTTTTTCTTGAGTCAGAATGCAATTTGCGTGGGAGCTGGGGACAAGCCCATGAATGAGTATCACTCCGTCGTGTACTATCAAGTCAAACAGCCACGCTGGATGGAAACAGTCAAGGTAATAATAATAATAGTAGAAGCAAACACATGTCTAGTTCTTACCGTGAACCAGGCACTGTTTTAAGTGCTCTATTTAAATCATTTGTGTATTGCTTACAACAGCCATGTGAGGTTCGTACTGATATTTCCCTCATTTTATACTTGAGGAAACTTACACAGAGCAAGTAAGTGGCCTGCCTACGATCACACTGCTAGGAAACATCAGAGCTGGGATTCAAACCTGAGCAGTCTGGCTCTGGGCCTGTGCTCATCACTGCAACTTGAGGGAGCAGAACACTGACTGGAGCAATTAGCCTTCTTCCTCCTTTTTTCTTTTTTTGAGACAAAGTCTCGCTCTGTTGCCCAGACTGGAGTGCAGTGGTACGATCTCTGCTCACTGCAACCTCTGCCTCCTGGGTTCAAGTGATTCTCCTGCCTCAGCCCCCTGAGTAGCTGTGATTACAAGCATGCACCACCACACCAGGCTTTTTATGTTTTTAGTAGAGATGAGGTTTCACCTTGTTGGCCAGGCTGGTCTCAAACTCCTGATCTCAAGAGATCTGTCTACCTTGGCCTCCCAACATGCTGGGATTACAGGCATGAGCCACCACACCCAGCCCTTCCTCCTTTTAATGAGAGCAGTAGAGCAAGACAGTTCTCCACATGGACCCTAGACCTGGAGAGTCTGGATTTGTGTTCCAGCCCTAATGTTCACCAACAGTTTCACCTTAGGCAAGTCATTCACCTGCTCTGTGCCCTGGTTTCCTCATCTGTAAAATGGAGCAATAGGTTGACTATGGAAGTAAAATGATTTAATACATATAACAGTGTCAGACTAGTCCTTGGAAGAAAGTACTTATTCCGTTAATACAACTCATAATTACACTTGGCAGTTATCTCAGTCTGCAAAATTGAACTAGATTTTGTATTTCTTCAAGATGCCCTTCAAACAGACACTTGGCTGTTTTTCACTCATCCCTCTATAAGGCAGCCTCATTGGTGTGGCAGTCAGCTTTGTGTCTCTCTGTGCAGTTAGAGGGAGAAGGCAGAGGGAAGATATAGTTGTTCCAGATATCTGATGCAGCATCCTTCTGGGTTCATCTCATATGGCATCTTCCCACAAAATATTTTCTGGAGTACTAAGTGGTGTTTTATTCAAATAACATTTCAGGCTAGGAGCAGTGGCTCATGCCTGTAATCCCAGCACTTTGGGAGGCCAAGGTGGATGGATCACCTGAGACCAGCCTGGCCAACATGGTGAAACTCCATTTCTACTAAAAATAAACTAGCCGTGCATGGTAGCATGCACCTGTAGTTCCAGCTACTCAGGAGGCTGAGGCATGAGAATCCCTTGAACCTGGGAGGCAGAGGTTGCAGAGAGCTGAGATTGCACCACTGCACTCCAGCCTAGGCAACAGATCAAGACTCCATCTCAGAAAAGAAAAAAAAAATCCACACATTAAATGTATTAAAATAACATTTCCTGGTCAAATAAATATGAGAAACTTGAGAACAAATAAAGAAGTTAAAGGCTTCCTTATGTCAAGTTCTTAGAGCCCTTGAGATATAAATGTGCTCTGCAAATCTGCAAAAGGAAATAAGAATGCAGAGCATGTCCCAAAACTCATTGACTACAGAGCATTTTCCTTTTTCCTAGTGTCATATCCCAGGGCTAGGATTCTGTTGAACTTGTTTGAGAAATGTCTTGTTTTAACCTAAGCAGGTGGGAGGCTTGATGGATCAATATGATTGTGAACAACATATGAGAATATATTATGTTTTTCTTCATGAAATGTCCAGCTCAGTTCTGAGGCCAGTCATGAACATACTGGAGGGATACGGAGTGACAGAAAGAACATCTTTAGCTCTGGGTTATAGCAGAAGTCACTATCCGTAAGGGCTTAGGATGCTTGGAGGGCCTCTCTGAATCTGAAACAACCCTGTAGCATGTGTCTGGTGGCATTGTCAGCCAGTGGAAATGGAGGCCTGGTGGGTGAGCACCCTGGTTCCCTTGATCACCCTTCATTGGTGCAGGATGTAACCAAAGTGGAATTGTCAAATAGTCCTCTTGTGGGTGGTGCCCAGGTCATCAAGCTGTGCCGTTCTACTCAGCAGTGAGGAGTGACAGAGCTTGCAAGCCAATGTGAGCCTATCACAGGCTGCATAATGCCTAAAAGATGCACTTTTGGGATAATTCTTGATAGACGTGACATTAATCACGAATATTCATGTTACCAGATCGTCACACTAAACAGAAAAGAATAACCTGCATTGGAATAAGGATTTGGAATTAATTCAGTGAACAGTGAAGCTTGATCATAGCTTCAAACATCTCTGCTTGTCATTGGCTGCATTCTTTATTCCCCCTGGGCTCTGACTCCAAATGGGAGATGCACACATGACTTCCTTTTCAGTAATAGTTATTCAAACCCCAGCGGTTCTCTACTTGTCACACATATTATTACATTCCTCAGTGTGTCTCCCCATACCTACTGCCTTCAAATTGATGACCCTCTCAACTTTGAGGTCAGAAAGTTAGCTTACAAGTCAGGCTTCTCTTCTCTGTGCTCACTTGCACCTAAGTCATTATCTCCTTGCTAGCCCTTGTCACAGGGCTGTTACACATACTGCCCCATATGTAACACGGGACCATGAGCTCTTTGAGTGTGAGGACTCTGCCTTGCATCAGCATGGCCAGTGCCTCACATGATTGTAGCTTCTAGTGAACATTCAACATGTAGGGAAAGGATGAATTGGACCGCAGTTACCTGTGAGACTCTCAGTTCCTTTGTTCTGTCTGAAACATAGACAGAATGGTGGACCTCCTCAGGCTCAAGTCTCATTTTCTATAACAGAAAGTGCCCCCAAGTATACATTTGTTTTGGCGTTTAATAGGTAACCGTACACTACAAATGTGTTCCTTTTTAAAATTGGTGTCCTTCTCACAGGTAGCTAAGCTTCTCTGCATTGGCTTAAATCTCAAATTGCAGAGGAGCTGTGAGATTTGGGGAGGTAGGCAGCACATAGCCAGGCTGAAAGCATCACAATCAATGGTGCCAGTGGGCCATTCACTGGACAGAGATGCCAGGGTGACCAGCGGGTGGTTGTCTTACCAGTGTCCTTGGAATCAAAAGCATCTGGACATGTGTCCAATCAAGGGTGGGATGAGCCCTAGAATTTTTCCAAATATTATTGGATTAAAGCATTTTATTCTCATAAATGAGAATCCTCAAGCAACTCCCCTAACAACCATTGTTAATTTGCTAAGCCCTGCTGCAATTGCCAGAACTACTGGAGTGTGTAAGGAAAATGTGCATTGTGCAGCTTGCAGTGCATCAAATCCTGTGATAAGGTTATGTGAGTTTTATATCAATTTGGGGAGACTCATTTTTCCTCACTATAATTTACAGACCTCTTTTCATTGGCTGGGAATGCAATTTGCCAAATGGATTACATTTGGTACTTTATTTTCTCTTCATAGCTAGTTCTTATGTAATTTATTTACAGTTCATCAGGCTCGATGGATGGGTTGTAAATCAGCAGGCAGCTCTCTCAGTTAAATGGTCAGGCTGCTGTGGAAGAGTGGGGTGCAGTGCGGAGGGCCCTTTAACTCTTTGTGTTCTGAGCTCTGCCTTCTGTCTGCTGAGGTGGCTGTCCCCATTGAAGACATGCAGAGGATCCATCTGCGATTCATGTTTCGACACCGGTCATCTCTGGAATGTGAGTACCATACCAAATGGCATCTCTGCACCTCCCCCTAAGCAAAGAAGAATGGAATAGCTGGGTGGCCCATGTATTGTTTTCTTTCCTGACCGCACTATGCTATTTCCAGCTAAAGATAAAGGAGAAAAGAACTTTGCCATGTCCTATGTGAAGCTGATGAAAGAAGATGGGACTACTCTACACGATGGATTCCATGACTTGGTTGTCCTCAAGGTATCATGAGTTGGAAGGAGCTCTGCACTGAGGGGGGTGCAGGAAGCAAAGGGTGATGGCAGAATTGCTTAGTGGTCAACAGCAGGGACCCCAGAATCACACACATCAGGGTTTACCAGCTTTGTGGCCTTTTACAAAATCTTGACTTCTCTGAGCCTCTGTTTCCTCATCTTTGTGCCCTCAGTGAATAATTGTGAGAATTATGAGACAGTGCATATGAGAATTATGAGACAGTGCGTTATGAGACATGGCAATGATGAGTACATGGGAGACTCAATATGTGGAAAAGGTTATTGTTGTTACAGATAGGTTATTATTATGACTGTTATGTACTCTTGACTCTGTAAGGACCTCTGTGACATGTGTAGAAGACCTACAATAAACGTTTGAGAGATGCTGCATTGTAGCTAATGGAAAAATATTAGAATCTGCAGTTCTGATCCTGCTGATGACTAAGCCTGGACTCATCTCACCTGTCTTCCTGAGTCTCAGTTTCCTTTATCTTAAGCAGTGACAGCAGTATTTATGACAAGCCAATAGGATGACCCATACAAAAGGGCCATCTAAACTATAAAGGGAGTGCAGAATTTTATTTGTACATTATGACACACGGACTGTTTTTGAGATGTGTAGAAGTGTTTGCCTGGTTTTACCTGCTGCTTTTCCACATGCCCTCTTATGACAGCAGAATGCATCTACCAGCACCTGTCTGGAGGCAAGTATATGGCTATGAAGTAGGGCAAGGTTGAGTACCCAGCTCATGGATCACACCCTTGCCCTTGGCTTTCTTAACCTTGTAGGCTGAAATTGCCCTTTTGCCTATGGAATGCATGCCAAACACAGCCTCATCAAGGCTTCATCTCATGGTACTCTTGTACTCTTCTCTGAGTCTCTCTGACTTCCGGAAAACTCCCTTTATTCAGTACAGCCTCTGTTTTCTCACTTATCATGCATAGAGTTCTTGGCTTGAAAGCCCTTCTTGCCTGACAGACTGTGAACTCCTTGGGGACAGAGGCCCAGTTGCAGTCAATTTTCTTTTACTTACTCCCATTAAGTTCCAGTTTCCTTGACTAATTATAGTAACAGTATCTGCTTCAAATGATTGTTATGAGGCTTAAATAAAATGAACCAAAGCATATAAAACACTTGGTACAGCTCCTGGTGCAGAGTAAGATAAATGTTACCTTCTGTAATGCCTATCTCTAGTCATTCATTTCAGCATGCCAAGGCACTTACATGCCTATCACTCTGCTATGCATTCTATATGCATTATCCTATATTATCTGCTCAGGTATTCTAAGAAGTAGGCATGATGATTATCTTCAGCTTACTCATGAAAAAAAAATGAGACGCAAAGAGGCAAAAGAATGTATTCAAGATAGCATAGACCTGTGAATGACAAAACAGGTCCAGATCCCAGCACATTCTTACTTAGTGCCTTTGCCATTAAATTCCTCTTTAAGCTAGATTCCTTATTTTGCTAGTAAGGATGTGTTATGATCTCAAAAAAAAAAAAAGATTAATTAAAATGGACTGTCTGGGAATCTTAAATTCCCTTTTCATTTTGCCATTAGTGAGGTTCACAGAGCTTTCACCTTGAGAATCAACTCCCTTTCAGTTAATGTATCTGAATTCTTGCCTGTTTTGTGGAAAAACGACCCTGCCTCACCAGCTGATGTCTATTGCTTTGCTGATGATTTTCTTCACTCTTTATGGCCCTCTCCACTTCACAGTGTCTAATTTGGCTGCTGTAAGCTCTGTGTGGCATTGGGCATGGAGCCTTGGCTTGTGGCAGTAACCAAGTGTTGTTTCCAGGGGGACAGCAAGAAGATGGAGGATGCCAGTGCATACCTGACCCTTCCTTCCTACCGACACCATGTGGAAAACAAGGGGGCCACCCTGAGCCGGAGCTCCAGCAGCGTTGGGGGGCTTTCTGTCAGCTCCCGGGATGTGTTCTCCATTTCCACCCTGGTGTGCTCCACCAAGCTCACTCAGAATGGTAATGGGGTCATCAAGAGTTGTGCCTGTGGGGATTGTGTGTGTGTGTGTGTGTGTGTGTGTGTGTGTGTGCACGCGCACGCGCATGCATGTGTGCATGTGCGTGCAGGCACAAGGAGGTCCTGATATGGACAGTTAGGCCAATAATGATGCTTCTGAATGTCTGGACTCTATTTTAGTGGGCTTGTTGGGTTTGCTGAAGTGGCGTATGAAGCCTCAACTGCTACAGGAGAATTTGGAAAAGTTGAAGATTGTGGATGGAGAAGAAGTGGTGAAGGTCAGTGGGGCTTCATTTTGTTTGTATTCTTATACTAGTGACAGAACTCTCCAATTGTAGGTGGCTTCAGGGGAGAAACAAAGTGTTGAAGGACCTGAGAAAACTTCTCCTCCAACGGTGGGACACACTCTCCCAAGTTGCATTAAGGAATCTTTATTGTGAAATCCAGGAGAGTGACTTGGTTCAATGGCACTGAATGTTGGGTGCCAGAAAACAATAGTTATGTTCAGTCTCTGGAAATAGATGAGCCTGGGTGTAAATCCCAGCTCTCCCACTTGCCAACTTTATGTGATAATATTATAAATGTGACATAGTTCTCAGGGCTATTATGAGCATTCAAGGTGATAATATGTAAAACTTACTCAACAGTCTCTTACACATAGTACATAACATTTAAATCAAAGCATATAAAACAAAATTCAATAAAGTAACTAATTTTTGTTGTCATATGTGGATTATATATGTATATATGTATATCTGTGTGTGCATATATATGTAGTAGTATGATCTCTTAGTCCTACCCACACATCATTGTTAGAAATAAAAAGTATTCTTGGTTTCTGCTTCTTGGAGAGCATTATGTATTAAAGATGAGAAAGGGAAAGACATCAGGGCTTACATTTTAAGTGAAATAAGCAGAAAACAATGCAAATGTCAGATGTATTATTGCATCCACATGGTAGTGGAGAATAGAAAGTGTCTGAAGTGCATATCTAATTAAAGCAACTGTTTTCTCCAGCCTTATGAATTGGGACAAGTGTTTCCCAATGGTCCTGGTGATCTTGTTTCCATGATACAACTAGAAATTCTGAGATTAAACATCTTTATATGGTAACTCTGTGTTTTGAGGGATTATAGGAAATATTGACCCATCCTTTAGGAGGGAGGAAAATCAAGTTTTTTTTAATTGCCTCTACCTGGAGAAGCAGTAGTAGAATTTCCAGATGCTGTAAATGTATACCACTGACCCATCTACCTCATTCAGCAATGGCAGAGGAACCCCCCCAGACACCACTTTTATGAAGTCTACAGCCTTTCGGTAACTTGGAGAAGTCATGGAAGAGATGAGACTTTTGTTGTCTCCCTCTTGCATTCTTTTTTCTTTTTTTTTTTTTTAAAGTTTGTTATTTAAATACCACATACATATGATGAAATAGATACAGCATGTACACACCATGTACTCACCACCCAGATGAAGATACAAGCACTTTTAGCATTATAGTAGATTTCCTCATGCCCCTTCTCAGCCGGGAATCCCCCTGGGATAATCGCTGTTGATTACCATCATCATAGATGCGTTTTTGCCTGCTCTCAAATTTCATAAGAATGGAGCAGTAAAGAGTGTACTTTCTGTGCCTGATGTATTTTATTCAATATAATGCCTGTGAGAATCATCCTCCTTGCTGCCTGTGAAAGTAGTTTGCACTTTAGTCTAGCTGTCTAGTATTCTCCAGTGTGAAAATGCCACCATCCATGTATCCATTCTGCTGTTGAGGATACATGGAGGACAGTTGGGTTCCTCTAACTTCTGGCTCTTGTGAGTAAAACTTCTCTAGCCCTATTGAGCATGGCATGTGGTGGATGTGTGCTCTCATTCTCTTGGATAGATAATAAGGAGTGGGATTGCTGGGTCACCTGCACTTTGTCTTGTTTCTGAAATAGAGCAACCTTCGTTATTTCTTCCAGTTTCTCCAGGATACTCTGGACGCCCTCTTTAACATCATGATGGAGCATTCTCAAAGTGATGAGTATGACATCCTCGTCTTTGATGCCTTGGTAAGAGAGAGGGGAAAAGCATCTAGTGACAACCGGCACTAGGGTGTGTCTTACTGTGAAAATACTGAGAACTTGTGACCCTCGTGGCCTTTTTCATGAATTCTTTGGAGGTGTTGTAATATTTGGCAATAAGACCAACAGTGAGCTGCTGTTTCTTGCCAGTTCATTTGAAAGCATGAGGGATGGTGGATGAAAGGGGAATTTTAAATGCTGATATCAGATTGACACTGACTGAAGGTACATGAGGCTGGATTCCATGAATGATTGCTTTTGCTTTCCATGAATGTTAGGAGCTAGTTCCTGGCTAGGTTGTAAAACACCCAAAATGTTTCCTAGCTTCTTTCCTTTCATCTTCTACTCCCAATTTCCTCCAACGCACTAATCATTACATTTCTCGTACCCACCCAGAACCTTTCATGATGCTCTACCATTGAGATCTTCCTTTAGTCCTCTTTTATGGTCTTTTTTCTCCTCCCTATCTTGACTCAGATTCTCTCAGAGTTATGTCAAAATAAACATAATGCAAAATAAACATCTGCATTAGGGAATCAGTGCCCAACAAAGTTTTCATGTGTTAACCCCTTGTGTCATGGATATTTGAATTTTTAAAGAGGTTATTGAGAGACACCTGTGGCTTAATCAAGTGTTTCCCCAGAGAGTACCCTAGAATGCTAGCTCTCAAAAAAGATGTTTCATGACAAAAACGTTCTTTGATTAACTAATTTAGGGAAGTGCTGAATGTTGCATGACCCTTTAGAGATTCACAATGTACGTAAGTATATTAAAGATTCTGAAAAGTTTTGCAACAAGGAAGGCAGTCTAATGATGATAACTTGGCATTTCTCAAACTTATTTGGCCATTAAATCCTTTTCATCTTATAACACCCTGCAGCATACTTCATGAAACACTTTTTTGGGAAGATGCTACCTTAATAAAAAGGACTCACTATGTATTAGTAACCTAATTTCTGAGCAAATAATTTTGATAGAGGTTGAATTATGCCAGGTAAAGATGGCTTCCTGGCCTGGTTTTGCCCTGAAAATACTGCTGTCTTTCATCTTCCTCAGATCTACATAATAGGACTCATTGCAGACCGGAAATTTCAACATTTCAACACCGTTCTGGAGGCTTACATCCAACAGCATTTCAGTGCAACCTTGGCTTACAAGTAAGTAATTGTGCACATGGGGACTTCTTGTCTACCACCTTCTTGCCCTGCCAGGATGCCTAGGGCACAGGAACTTGAATAATTTTCTTTTGTCACTAATCTGTGTGAGCTCTCCATTCTGTGACAAAATCCAACCTATGCTTGGGTTATCTGGATATCAGTAAAAATGTGGAATACCCATAGGTTTGGATGAATACCTTACGGTGGCAGTGGTACCTGGAAGTGCTCATTCATCCATTCAGGTAGTGAGCTCTCAGTTCTTGAGTAGACACCAGGACTCAAAGGCTACAGAGAAGAACAGGTGCAGTGGCTCATACTTGTAATCCCCGCACTTTGGGAGGTTAAGGTGGGCAGATCACCTGAGATCAGCAGCTGGAGACCAGCCTGGCCAACATGGTGAAACCCAGTCTCTACTAAAAATACAAAAATTAGTCAGGCATGGTGGTGGGCACCTGTAATCCTAGCTATAGAAAAGCAGGAGAATCACTTGAACTCAGAGGTGGAGATTGCAGTGAGCAGAGGTTACATGACTGCACTCCAGCCTAGGTGGCAGAGTGAGACTCGTCTTTCCCCCACAAAAAAAGCTACAGAGAAGAAAGTGCACATATACTCATGCCAAGTAGCTCAGTCTGGCTTGGGTGTAGGAAGGGGCCTTGAAAGGCAGGCCAAGTAATTTGAAGTCTGCCCTATGGTAAAGAAGAAACATAGAAAGTTCCTAAGTAAACTTAGAGTTCTGTGATATTATGAGAACATATTTTATAGAAAGAAAAGGCTGAAAACGAAGACATTATTGCCACCATTATTCCCACTTGTAGCTTGATTGTGACTAGTTTTCCTAGTCAAGAATTTTTTTTTACTCCCTATTTGTTTCTTCGCTGGCTTTTTATGAGAAGGAAATACTTATTCATTCTCTGAAATAAATATAATTTTTATGCAGTTATTTTTATGCTTACAATGAGTGAGCTTGGCTCTACTACCACCTTTAACCTTTGATTGAATGCCTTATAATTTACTCAGCAAATTAATTACCATGATGAAAGAGATGTATTTTGAAAATATTATTCCTTTTCAGGAAATTGATGACAGTACTGAAGACTTACTTGGATACCTCCAGCAGAGGGGAGCAATGTGAGCCAATCCTAAGAACCTTGAAGGCTTTGGAATATGTGTTCAAGTTCATTGTTCGGTCAAGGACATTATTTTCACAGTAAGTACTTGTTATGTAAGAGTGATTGATTAGCTCTGCAATTCCTCTGGGATACAACAGTATTTTTACTGTAGGAGAAACTCTTTTAAAAAATTATAACCAGCTGTCGATCAAAAACAGTTCAAGAATCCAACCGAGAGAGTTATGAATATGTAATAATCGTACCTTCTAAGTTCATTTGGGAAAATTAAAGAAATCTTAACATGTTGCAGAGTTATGTTTTATCCAGTAAATGTGATTTGAGGCTCTTTTGTGTTTCATCTAACATTCTTCATTTGATTTGAAGTATGGTGAACATCTTCCAGGAATCTATATTCAATGTTAGAGGGGCTGGGAGCAGGAAGGGCACAACTCAGGGAGTTTGACGGCTTGTAGGTTGTGCATGGCCGATGAGCTGGTATTTGCAGTGGACCTGTCTGTCGTTGAGATCTGCGTACCCAAAAAGTGAGCTGATGCATTAGAGTATCTTAGAAGATTTTGATGGTCAGTATCATGAGGTCAGCTGCCTTTTTGAAGGGCTTTGGAGACGGAAGCATTCAAATGCAATCTGCAAAAGAGCAATTCATGTTCATCCTGGCCATAAGGCAAAGCTAGGTGGAGGATTGTTTGTGTGTGATCAGGCTGGTTGTGTGTGATGGAAAATAAGAAAAACATGCATGGAGAGTATTGTCTGGATTCTTATCAGTGCCAACAAAGAACACTCAACTGAAACTGACTTAGGGAGAAATGAGGCTTTATTTCTCATCATCGAAAAATCAAGGGGGTAGTTGGCCTCAGGCATGGCCGAGTTCCGATACTCAGTGTTATTGGGATAGTTTCTATCTGTCTAGATCTGGACTCTGCTTTCCTTCTGTTGATTGCCTTATGAGGCACGCTTTTCAATTCAGAGGCCACTAGAATCTTCAAGTTTACTTTCTACTGGTGGAAGCAACCCTTCATTCCTTGTTGTCCTAGCAAGATCCTATGCCAGAACTGTCTTGGGTCTTGTGTAGTTGTGGTCATGTGTGCATTCCTGGAGCCAAGGCCAGGTTGGCCACTTACAGTGTGGACTTGATATGTTGAAGAGATGACTTCTCAAAAGAAACTTGAAGTATCCTGGGCAACAAAGCAAGACTCTGACTCAAAAAAAAAAAAAAAAAAATCCATCATTGTGATTGTGATCATGACAGTGAAATGAATGGGCTGCTAAAGCCTTTATACTTGACAATGCATCTGGAACAGGCAATCATTTGGGATTCTCTTAAAACAGTCTTTGAGATTTCAGGTGATGAATAGAAAGATGTGAGTGTCTTGAACCATGCCACAGAACAAATGTACTTAGATGATTCTGAAAGTGAAGTGTCTGTTTCAAATCCCTCTGGCATGTCATTTAGTCAAATCTTAGTTGGATATTCTTCCAGGTTTGAGAGATTCTTGTCAGTGATTTGGGAAAACCAATAGGAGACTCCAGGGGGTCTAAGAGTGATTTTCTTGGAGGAGTTCAAGAATTGAGACATTGTAGTTACAGGGTAAAAGACAAGGGTATCTTATCTCATTTTCCAAGTGAGAATGTTTTATCAATAAGAAGAGTATGTCTTTTCTCCTTATCAGAACTTTTCTTCAGTTCTTCCTTTTGTTGTATTTATTTTATTGCTTCCTCTCTCTCCTGTATTTCTTTCCTTTTCTTTTCTTTCATCCTGCTTCCTTCCCTCCCTCCCTTCCTTCCCTGCCTCCCTTCCTTCTCTCCTTCCCTCCCTCTCTCCCTCCCTCCTTTCTTTCCCTCCCTCTCTCCATCCCTCCCTCCCTCCCTCCCTTCCTTCCTTTTTTCTTCCATTTTCAAGGATTGAGCTTCTTTACAAAGCCCCTTGCAGTGCCTGAAGCTCAGACAACCATCTATGCTGATCCCCAAGGTTTCTGAGCTTGTGGAATTATACAGAGTTTAGAGCAGACCATGCTTCCCTGTTCCATGAGATGTATAGTGAGCAGCTCCCCTTCCTACTGCAGAGCTTCTGTTAGGATAACTTTTTTTTTTTTTTTTTTTTTTTTTGAGACGGAGTCTCACTCTTTTGCCAGGCTGGAGTGCAGTGGTGTGATCTTGGCTCACTGCAACCTCCACCTCTCAGGTTCAAGTGATGCTCCTGCCTCAGCTTCCTGAGTAGCTGGGATTACAGGTGTGCACCACCATCCCAGGTAATTTTTGTATTTTTAGTAGAGACAGGGTTTCACTATGTTGGCCAGGATGGTGTTGATCTCTGACCTTGTGACCTGCCTGCCTCGGCCTCCCAAAGTGCTGGTATTGCAGGCATGAGCCACCATGCCCAGCCAGGATAACTCTCTTATGTCTTACATCTGTAGTTTTTGTCTCTGCCACCTACTTGGACAAAATACATTTGTGCATTGGTTTTGTTGTTCTCTGCCTCAAGATATGTCATCTGGCAGAACCCCTGACTCTTTAACTGGTGTAAATTCGGTGCTGCTATAATGCTAAATGCTAAGTGACTTTTGGCTTATGAAGGAGCAGGGTGATCTGTTATTCCTTGCTGTATGCCTAGAATAGCATATAGCAGCACATCACTCACATTTGATCAAGAGAGATGTCTCTAAAGCAACCCAAGCCTAATCTTGAATCTTTCCTCATGAACAGAAATCTAGGCTGACCTAAAAAGAAGGTCTAGGACCTCATGCTAGGAGAAGGTACGTTTTGTGTCTTGTTCTTTTTAGAATCTTTAGCAAGGATCTTATCCCCAGAGGAGCCTCTAGGGCATTGGAAAGCAATTGGAGTATTTCTCCATGTGAGGGGGCATCTTTTGTGGGAAACTAGAAAACAGAAGTTTCAATGCTTTGAGATTTCTAACCCAGCTGTTGGGAAATCACAATATAATTATTGATTTGGGACTAATTGTATCTCGCATTGTATGTCTGTTTCCTGTTAATCCTTTATTCTCTTTCCCCTCTTGCATAACTGCAACGGATCTAGCTCCCATTATTTGTTCTCTCGCCATTATTTTTTGCACGTACTGCACAGCAACATTTGCAATGGCTAAGGATTTTCCTGTGTCAGTATGCAAAGTGTAGTTGGGTAAGGGAAGAAGAGTCATTGTTGAAAAGCAGTGGAATTTTTATTTTATTATATTTTTGAGGAGGATTCATTTCTATCTATAGCCAAGGAAAAAAGAAACTGAGTTCCCTGTCTCCCACTTCTTGTGTCACTAGCTCCTGAGTCAAAGTCTGGATCAAGTGTCTGATTGGGCTGATCCTTTTTTTGGGGCTGCATAGTATTCTATGGTGTATATGTGCTGGTGCTGTAGCTGCAAAGGAAGGTGGCAGAGCATGTTCTAGCTTCTGCCACAGGGAAGCAGGCTGATCAATAATTCCTAAATTATAGTAAGTGTATCCGAAAGATGCTGGCTGGCCATAAATATGTCCAATATCCAGTATACTTTTGTAGAATGGCTGAGCTCCTGGGAGGTATAGAGCATCATGAGAAACATTCAGAAAGGGTTGAAGTGATAATCTAGGATTCAGCTTCTTTACAAAGCCCCTCGCAGTGCCTTTAATCCTGAAGCTCAGACAAGCAGCTGTACGGAGCTCCAAGGTTTCTGAGCTTGTGGAATTACAGAGTTTGGAGCAGACCGTGCTTCCCTGTTCTATGCGATGGACACTGAGCAGCTCCCCTTCCTGCTGGCAGGCTTAGAGAATGAGACTGCAGAGTTAAGATAACTCTCTAAAAGGGAGAGGAATCAGAACTCGGTGCTCCAATGAGAGTTGTTCCCACTTGCCTCTGCTTCTCAAAAATCCTCATGCTGCCCCAGATTAGAGTGCAGGAGGCAGTGTGGAGTAATAGTTATGAGTACATGCTCATGCAGGACAGACATTGGGTGGAATGGTATCTCTGCCCCTGTAAGTCCCTGGCTTAGTGATTGAATCAGCCTCTCTGAGCCTCAGTATCCTCATCTATAAATGCGGATAAACCAGTTCATCGTGTTTTGATGATGAAATGAGATTATTGGTACAAAGTGCTCTATGCAATGTCTGGTACTTGATATCATGTTTTCACCCAGGAGAAACAGCAAGGGTGCTTTTTTCAAAAACTCAGATTTATTAAGAAATTACGGTGTCTTGATTCAAGCTTAAAATTTGACTTACTGTTCATACTATCCTAAGCATGTCTTACTGTTTATTTCTCTGGAGGCAGGGATAACTTTTACCAGGTGTCTGTGCTTTTTGAGGACCACAGTGTGGGACTCTCCTGGCCCCAGAAATTTACCTTGGTCTGCTGCCAGCTCCAACTGGGTGGTCCTGATTCTGTTTGTTGCTCTCATTTCCTTCTGTGAATGTGGTCAGGCCCTTCTGGCCAGAGCAGCCGTTGTGCCCAGGTCTCTGGCCCTTGCTTGCTATGCCTCGTTTTTCTTTGCATCCTGCCTTCTGCTCTTATTACAGACCTGCTTGTTTGGGTCTTGCTTCTTCCCACTTCTCCATTTAACCCTGATCTCCTGCCTTCCAGAAACTCCTCCTTTACCAGCCCCAGTTCCAGCTCATTTGCTTATGAGAAACTGCCAGCTCAGAGGTTAAAGGCACAGTCTTCTAGGGCCAAGGCTGCTTGGGTGTGAATTCTGAGTTTGAATCTTGCCATTATATTTACTAGCATTTACAACCTTGGGCAAATTATTTAATCTTCCCAAAGCTTAGTCTTCTCATATGTAACACAGTCATACTGGCAACCAACCGAATGAGAAAAAATTTTTGTAATCTACCCATCTGGGAAAGGATATTATCCAGAATCTACAAAGAACTAAAACAAATTTACAAGAAAACAACAAACAACCCCATCAAAAAGTGGGTGAAGGATAAGGACAGAAACATTCCAAAAGAAGACATTTATGCAGCCAACAAACATGAAAAAAAGCTTATCATCACTGGTCATTAGAGAAATGCAAATCAAAATCACATTGAGAGACCATCTCATGCCTGTTAGAATGGCGATCATTACAAAATCAGGAGACAACAGATGCTGGAGAGGA